ATTGTAGAAACTGCTTTTTCTTTTAATCTATCAATTTCAACTTAAAATATCACGGACACGGTGTATCGCGAACGAATGATCCAAATGGTTGCAAAACAGCGTCTGGATCCGTCGTGGCAAAAAGCTGGCGATGCGAGGACCCCAGCAGAGTGTCTCGCCCGCGGCGCCCAGTAAATCGCGTGCGCGAGCGCGAGAGAAAAAGGCGGGCGAGGGATCGTTCGAGCGCGTTTCGACCGATAGCGGGTCCGGGCCGTAATTAATCCAGGAACGATCGCGGTAGTTAATTCGCGACGGCGATGATGAAGGAAACGGTTCGCGACGCTCTGGTTGAACGCCGGCTCGCGCCGCGTGTAATGTTAACCGACGGTGACTGGATCGTTTGTTAACGCGATTTAACGCGGCCCGTGGCAACGATTCTTTCTGCTCCCGTTACCATCGAGAGATTTTCCAAATCCGTGAAACTGTGAATTTCCTGATGAATGAATCTAGGATTTTATGGCTGGAAGGTGCAGCGTTCAATGTTAGGCTCGTTAAGAAATTATGTGAAGTATTTCGAAGACGTAAATTACCGGTGGAAGCTATGATTAAGAACTGGAAATTATATGCCGAAGCTAATCTAATAATCTAATAAAAAAATAAAATTTGAAAAAAAAGAGAAGAGAGTCGTAGATATCAATGGACAAAAGTCGAAATTGAAACAAGCTGACGTCCTTTAACAGCTGCAATTGTACTCTTTTTGTGGGAGACACTCTCATTGACAAAGACCACGAATTCTGGCGTCACGCCGGCCAACAACATATGGCCGATTATTCGTCACAGGATGTCGAAAGTTGCTCTTTCTGCTCACCGCTTTCAAAATACCACGTTGACAAGCGAATGCACTTCCGCTCGTTTCCGAGTGCCCGGCGAATTCGTTGCGTGGCAGGACTGCCGACTTTCTGTGTTCTCGTTGAAATTTCCTTCGATCTAGAAAATAAATTCTACGCGAGCTCCAGGAAATTTACAATGTGGAATCGATAAAATTATATAGCTACCTCTCACAAATGCTATGATTAAGAAATAACTCTTAACAGTTAGAAAGCTGTGAATTTTTTCTAACAAGCAAGGGTGACACTTGCATAAGTCAAGGTTGCAAAGTTGTACTCCAACTTTGGAACCTTGCAATTATAGGAAAAAAATGTTTCCGGCGAATGTGGATGGAAATTTGCACTTTTCCATTAAAACGCAATTATTATGAACTGCCGTTCGAATCGTTATCTGCGATACGGCGAGTCATTATTACTCGGCCACGTGACTGATACCCACTATCGTTCCACGAGATCTCACTCGATAAAATCAGAGCTAGTATTAACTAGATTTTGAGAGAAACTATATGTACGAGCGAAGCATAACTATGAGAATTGTTCATTTTTCTTAATAAAAGAATTTCGTTAGAATTCACGTTAGACTCGTAAAAAAAATTGGGCTCGAATCCCCTAAAAGGAACCCAACGAGACTTGTGACTCGGTTCAAGGTCGATGCCAGGCATTCCTAGACACCACCTTTCACCCCTATATCGCAGACCAGCCGTGTATATCACCGTCCCAGGAAGCGGACTAGCATCCCTCGAGCGGTCGAACCTTCCATTGCTGGCGTATGCTGTCTGCCACCCCGGAACTCCACTAGGTAGAGCGTCTCTACCCTCGAAAATCCATAGTGGACCCACCCTTCGTAGCGCCTGCGCGTCTCCCTGTCCCGTTCGAACGATCAACCCTCTCTTCCTCCCTTTTGGGCTGGTCTCTCCTCTCGCGCGGAACAACGTCAACCAAGCTTGATGCGGCGAGCCATTAAAGGGCCAAAAGGGAAGGGACGAAATGGATACGCAGACGCTTTTCTATCCTGAACAAGGGGTGGAGGGATCACGGGGATGAACGGTCTCATGGAAGTAGAAGAAGCAAAATGGCGAGCGGCACTTTATTAGGGTTGGAAAATTTCCTAGCTTCCAGATCAGTTATATGATTAAAAAATGACAAGGAGATCGATTCAGTCGCCAAATACTTACTGGTTTCTTTAAAAAATGTACGAGTAAAAGGATTTTGGTTGAAGATTAAGTTGCTGCGTTTCGTAATCTTGCTTCGATGTTCGTACCGGTGTATTTTCAACCTGCATCGATTTCGAGGGGACAACGAGAAGCGACCACGTTGGTCAAGCCTCTAGAAATGGGATTCTAAGGGCTGATGGATTCGAGTATAGCGTGCCTTTCCATCCGCGATCGCGCCACCTTTGATTCGTGTTATTTAATTCCAATCAGACCGAGGGCTCGCATTTGTCCTCCCCCGCAGGCCAAGTAATATCGTTTCCTTGGAAATTCGTTTCCTGGTAACGCGTGTTCGAGCTCTCGGTGCAGGGTAGCTTCGAGGCCTCTTCAAGGCCGTGCTCGAAGGTCCTCTCTCTATCCGAGAAAATACGATCGAACGCTCAGCAACGAAGTGGGGTTGGAAAATTGCCACGGAGTAACTATCGCGATAACCGGGGCCGGCCATTAAACAGCGGGTCCGAAGTATGCGAGCGTATTTCGAGTGCGTAACCCTGTTACGGTCCGTAGATTCGACACGCATTTACGCAACCGGTTTCAAGGTTGAATTACACGATGCGTTATCACCTGGCGAATAAATTACATATAAAATTCGATGATCCTCCGGGTTGTAATCTACTTGTACTTCCTACTCGCTTTAACTAATTGAAACAGTTGCGGAAAATGCTCCGCAATAATACTTCGTTGTGAATAATTGTCATTGGGAGGGAGCGAGAAATAATGCCGATGAAAAAGGATGGTGATCGCGATAAATACGGAGTATCATTGAAAGATACATCAAGGACCAACGTGTGTTAATCTGCAACGAAATAAAGGCTCTATCGCGGTATAACTAATTATGGTCGTGATCAGAAAAATGATACTTTTAGATAAGCATGCAATTTCGAACGCAACGGATTACGTTCCCGGCCGACTCGGGAACGGTTCGCAACGAAGCGAGGGAACAATTACAGTTCTAATTGCAGTATTGTCGCGCATCGGTTTCATTCTACGGCGGCGAACTTGCAGTTTCAGGGGGGAACGCATTCAAATGCGGTTTTGCACGCCGCGCAAAGTGCACGGCTCGCGTCGCTTTCTTCCCACGCTGCGGCACAATAAAAGTCCGTTGGTTACGTAAAACGCGTGTCTCATTCATCGGCTCCCTTCCCGGACATTGTGTCCGCGAAATCTATAATTTTTTTTTTTCTTCTCCTCCACTGTTTTCTATTATTCGTCCGTCATCGTGACACGGTCATCGCGGTGTGTCGATCCGTTCGTCGACGACAGCATGATCGCCTAGTTTCATACATGATTCATACTAAAGAATGCAGAAGAACCTTCGCGCGAATTCTGTCCAAAGTTACAACAACGTAGTCGTACCCTTTACAAATGACTCATGTCGGTACAGATTAAATAAACGTTAAGAACTTTTTTGATCCATATTCTCGATAAGGGTTGCGATGCACTCAGCGATCGATATTCCTCAAATCGAAGTCTCATTCTATTTTTTTTCTATCCTCAGGTTTCACCGGATTACTCGTTGTTAGTCTTAACGATTGCAATTAGTGTCATCAAATTGCGCGGTGGTATCCTTGACGAGTTCCTCGAACGAACGCGCATCGCGTTGGTGATCTCCGCGGAGTGCACGGGTTTCCTCTTTCCCGGCCGAATCAAATTGTCCGTCCGCGCGACAGGCCGTCGTGACGGATTCGAGAAACGGGCTGACGTGCGACGGGCTCGCAAAACCGACGGAGAAAAAGACGAACGAAGGAAACGCGCGACCCACGTGGCACTCCTTTTCTCCCGTGTCCTCGCACCGATAATTAACCATGTTTTGCACGCCGCGCCCCGTCGGAGGAACGCGCGAAAGAACAAAAGCCCGTGGATCCTAATGGCATCTGAATGAGACTATTCCTCGAGGACCTGCGGTCCGGCATCGCTCGTCCCGAGTAATGGATTCGGTGTCATCTAATAATTAATAGAGTTCTTCTCGGGTGCTGCCGCGCGTACTCGACGGCCACCGGCCGACCGTATATGGCCGCCTCGATCTCATTCATCACGCTTTCTAACCCCTAAGCATTTTAATTAAGGCCATCGCCGTTTTTCCCTCCTCCTCATTTCTTTTTCCCCATGGGTGTCTTTCTTTTCCTCGGCAGCCGCATTTTACTGTGTGCGTCTAACGAACTGGATCGATCTCGATCGATTCGAGTTAACTAATTAATTTCAGTTAATATTGGTTTGCATAGAGCAATCATCCGTGATGTATTTAATCGTTTGGGATATAATACGTAAAAATAGTTGTTATTGCCGAGTGCAAGGTAACGACAACGCGGTGTCTTTGACGTCCGGTATGGGGTCTCATTTCTACAGCGGTCGAATTCAATTAAACAAACAGTATGGCTGATTTCGCGTACGACCGATGGGTCGGTGATGGTAGTCAGCTTCTACTCGTCATGGTTATCCAACAATTTATTCACTTTATGCTCGATACCTGGTTAAGTCCGGGGGGAAAGCGGCAGTCGAGAATAAGAGAAATACGAACCGAGAGGAGTGCAGATGGGCGAAGTACTTTGTAATAACTATACTTATACCGAAGAATCCCGGCTGTTGAGTGGGCATATCGGTCCGCAGGGTTTCTCCGCGTGTCAATCAACCCTACGGACAGTGGTCGTCTTTAATTATCGAGAATCCTCGGCCCTCGTAGGCCGCCTGTTGTTCGAGCCTCGAAGGTGGCCGAGGAATTCCTGTAACCAGTCGAACGCGAACATCGCAGGCTAAACGATTATCCCTGTTACTTTGGCTAATTAACCCGACGTGACGCGACCGTTTCCCTTTTTCTCGTTGACTCTTTCAGACCGTTTTGCCTCTATAAGACGCCGGTGAAAAAGGAAGTTGAATACGTTAGAAAAGCGTGTATTCAAATTTGTATTTAATTTTTCTGTTGCAGTTTGAAACCACCGCAGAAAGATGGGGTAACCAAGTCGAATCCAAGCAAACGGCATCGAGAACGACTGAACGCCGAACTGGACACGCTGGCATCGTTGCTCCCCTTCGAGCAAAATATTCTCAGCAAACTGGACCGACTCAGCATCCTCAGACTCAGCGTCAGCTACTTGCGGACGAAGAGTTATTTCCAAGGTAAGATCCATTTTAAGAATCGTCGCGGTAAATCCGGACGTGGGTCACTTATCGTCACGAAGTCGACGCCTCCGCGGTAAAAGATGACGAGCCTCGATACGTATTATTAATTGCGAGAAAAGCGTCCGTCGTTAAGATGGCGGTACGGATATAGAGATTTCTTGTTGCGCTGCGTGCTCCCTGGCTAAACATCGTTGCGCATCCAAGAGCATTAGCATCCACGAATATCCCGACGAGCACGCGATGCTGTCGTTACTCCTGTCTTTCTTAGGGAACAATAAGATTCAAAAACAATGGCCGACGCGTTCTTCCGCGATCCTGCAATTCGTCTGTTCGACGTCAAACTTCTCCGTTTCCACGGCGACGACTATTGTGATACGCGCCGCCGCCTATTGTTGGATTGTTGCATTGTGCAACGCGTTTAAAGAGAAAGTTGTAGATTATGCAGATCTCAGTTCATGCCGCCGACCTTTTTTCTTTATTCTACACTTAAAATGATGAAGTTATTATCCACCTGTCAGTTTAAATAAATAGTTCCTCCTGACCCTAACTACTCTTAGAGGGAATCGCAGTCGCTTAAGTAGAATCTTTATGTAAGCGAATTTCCATATCGATCACGAATTGTTCCTGGATAGACCAAAAACGAGGGGGGAAATCGAGGAATGGTCGCGGCAGACGGAGAAAGAGAGGAGGGAGAAGGCAACAAGGTTCGCCAATCAATAGCTTGAAAATCCGTCGTAAAAAGATAAGCCCCGGTTATTACGAGAAACTCGTGGCGCTCATTTGCCCGAAGGTTGTAATTTCTGTACAAAGAAGAGTTTATAATCCGTTCGTGACGCAGAATCGTAACATTGCTTAACCCATTTGCATTGCTTATTCATAATTAGTCAAGATATCCGCGCGGCTATGACATTTTTAAATTTTAGGTCAGCCCAGATATCGCCTAACCCCCCTCCTCCTCCTCCTCCTCTTCCCCTCGTCTTTCTCGTTATATAACGATACGCTTTTAGAGATCGAGCCACGATTAGTTTTCGTTGGAATTCAATCTGAGTAGTTACACAGTTCTTTACTATTGATCGGTCTAAATAGTTTCGATTCCTCGTCGGGTGCTCCGGGTTTGATTCCTTTAATTGCCAATCGAACGATAAGTCGGCTCGAATCGGCGCGACCTAATTTCGTTCGTTCCACCGCGGATCGCAAGTAGCGTGACTTTTTAGGATTAAACATATTCTAACGCTCAAGGTTGCTTTACTTATCGGCGCTCGTTGAGGAAAAAAAATGAAGCCGTTAAATGAGCAACGGTATCGTGTCGCTATCAATTAATAATTAGGATTTCTATACGGAGAAGGTGATAAACGTGCATGAATGAAAAAGTTTGATAGATTACGACTCTTAAATTGAAACGAACCAATGAAGACAAATGAAAATCTTATTGCATGGACATGGGGAAAGGGGGGGAGGGTAGGAGGAGGGAATTAAGCCTGGCAAGTCGAATCGAGACGAGTGAAAATTACAACATAAATATAGATAAGGCAGGGCGGAATTATGCAACCGCATCAGGCGTGGAGGAGCATCGCGCGACTTCCTGCGGTGTGCAATCTCATCTGCAATCGCAATCAGGTTGGGAGCCCAATCGAAGAATCGCCGCGGAATAATGGGTAGACGTTCCTTCTTTCCTCCCGTCCATTATCTTCCAACCCCGGTCTCTCGGAGTCGCGAAGGAGAAGGCGAACTCCAATCTCTCACGACGAACCTCGTGCGCGCGGCCTCTAAGTGTGCCCACACGAAACCCTCGTAATGCGGCTTCCACACTTTTATCGATTTAACGCCGCTAAGTACTGCGAACCTGGCCACGGACGATCGCCCTCCCCGTCACCCCTCGCCCGCTCCCGGGCCCCGCGGTGTGTCCTGAATGCTTCCTTTTGGCCACTTCCTCGCGGCGCATCCTCGCTATCGATCGATCCACCTGGTCGCTGTTGGTCATCTTCTCCCGAGTGCAATGTGCCCTAGAACCGAGCAGAATTAAATCCCTAAAAATTTCAAGAACCTCACTTCATTACGAATAGCCATCAAATTATTTTTCTCACCAGAAGACTCGCTCGCACTTGGTCAAATTTCACATCGAATTACGTACGAACATTGGAATCCGAAAATGATCAGCTAACGCAGAAAGAACCTCTGCTACCCCCAATCGAAATCTTGGATCCTGTTCACACTCGTTGCATCGTGATCCATGGGTAAAGGACGAGCGACGACGCGTGGGTCGCGGCGTATGCAAGGTAATGGACACGAATCCGGATCGCAGAGACCGCGCGCGCGCGCGCGTGCGTGCTCGTGGACGGGAATGCGAACGCGAGGAGAGAGAGAAGACCGGGAAGGAATGGAACCGAACAGGAATGCGAACGCGAGAAACATACACGGAAAGCTGTGTGTAAGCGAGTGTGTGTGTTGCGTTTCGAGGCTCGAAGAGGAGCGAGAGAGGCGACCACGTCCTGATATCGCGGATCTCGCAGTATATCACCTGCGGGCCACAAGAGGTTGGCCGGCCTCTACTTAGCGCTCTTGTTGCTACCGGCGCGGAGAGCGATCCTGAGAGCGAAGCCACGGCCCAGCCTCGGGCATTGTTCACACCGTTTTAATAGGTATTCATTGTCGGACCTCAGATCTTTTCCGAAGACTCCCGGGAGAGTGTCGCCCGATGCCCCGATACCTGGGAGGTTCTTGTGCATTACCAGCTCACCTGGTCCCTTCCCTCTTGCCCTCCCTCTTTCGGAGAAGAGGTCGTTCCGTTCGGCTCGGTTCACCGGCTGCGCTAATTGCGAAAAATGCGTATTCCGACTGAGAGAGCATCGGACTTTGTATTTCAGTTCGCCAGATCTCTACAAGCTCTCCTGTAAGAAGGAGATAAATATTTTGAGATTTGGAAGCCTACGTTACGTACGACGTAAAGTAAAAATTCCAAGGAAGCAAAATATAAGGAAATAAGACGACAACTCTGTTCTTTTTGAGGATACAGTTTAAAGGAAGTGGTTGTGCGCGAAGAAAGAAGTTGTATGCAAAGAATCGAGCGATCTCTGGCTCACCCTCTGCTTTGTGGTCTCGCTGAGGAACACGCAGCGAGATACAGGATAGCAACTGCGAATACCAATTGTGCAGGCCGTTTTAAAGTTCCGCTGGCTATCTTCCGTTTTACCAAGAATTCGCGAAAGGTTGCAGCACGAGGTTGCATCGATTCCCAAGAAACCGAGTTCCTTCGATCGTCTATTTTCCCACAGTTCGGTTCCGCGGAGGAACGAGGAGGAAGAAGAACGGTTCCGCTATGTAAATTAATTAGCCTCTCCTCGGTAAACGCGCTGATTTTTCAAACTGGCCACGTGGTCCGTCCTCGCGCCTCCGGTCAGCCTAGCGAAGAAAATAAGAAGCTGCCGACGGAGGAGAAGGAGAGGATGAAGAACACGGAGAAGAAGAAGAAGAAAAGGTGGAGGTGGCGAACGTTGCAGAAGATTCAGATAGCGGATCGTGGGGGTTGCGCCTCTTTCGCTTTTTTACTGATGCTTACCGTCCCTTCTTTCGCGTTTCGCCGTTCCTCGTAGACCCCCATAAAAGGTCCAAAGCGACGAGTCCCGGTAATTAACCTCCTCCGCGTCGATCTTATTGCCGGCAGCCCCGTGTTCCCTTCCCACTTTTGCTTTTTTCCCTGCTCTCGATACGACGCCTCCTTTTTGATGGTCTAACTTCTCGATTCGGAACCTTTTCTAATTTCGTATCAAGCACGCTTCCACGCAAAACAGGATTTAATTCCGTACGACTATATCATCATTTTATTGCCGAGAAATATATGAAAAAAATGTGCTGATAGTTTTGTTTAGAGTAATAGAGAAGACTGAGAGAGGAAAGAGTCGATTAGTTTAAGTAATACAACAAACAACGTGACAGCTGCAAAAAGCTCAGCTTAATGAGGCTTATACGAGGCTCGGAAACAACTGGAGTTTGATCTTGCGTGCGACAGATAGACAAAAGAGGGAGAGGACGAAATTGCGAGTGGGAATAAGGTCCTTGATGAAATTGTTAGTTCAAGGCATTAATAATCTCTCCGTGGACTAATTACTTACTCGTGCGAGGGCATCAAATCCCCATTATACAATTCGTCACCCTCCGACACCTTAATCAAAACCCTCGCGCGCGTCTACACGTCGAGTAACGACGACATTAGCGGGAAAAGTAATGAATTCTTTGCACCGTTCAACGACTCAGCTTTGTCGTTCCGGTTAAAAAAAAATTCTCCATGAGAAACCATGTCCTTTCAGAAATGTCACATAATTCTACGAAAAAGGGTGATAATTTTGTTCGTTTGATACGCGGAAAGCATTACACACAGTTTAGTCAAGGAATCGAGCGACCAGCAATGTTTCTTCGTACGCCAGCTTGTATCGGTCTCGTACCCCCGTGAATGCGGCTTGTAAACACGTAGCACGGACGTTGATCAAGAGATATACATCGATACAGTTACCTTCTCATCATTGCGGCTCATTTACATTTTTCATTTCGATCTGACACCTGGCGGGGACGAACGGCGGGAGAACCACTGCGTGACGGGGGACGAGGAGGGGAATTTGGGGAACTGGAGGACTCGTCGGGTCTCCAAGGAGGACGAACGAGAAAAAAGAAAACCGATGAGGATTCGGAGCAAACGAGAGGACGAAATGAAGCGTAAGAGGAAGTCAAACAAGGAAAACGGAAGTGGAGACTATTGTAAAGAAAAATTAAACGTGCGCAGGAAGAATAAAGGAAAGCAAAACGAAATGCGCGGAAATGAAAAAGAGAACAGACGCAGCGTGTAAAAAAAGGAAGGACGTTTGTAACCGATGGAGTGGGGATTGGTAGCAGGGGCAACAAAGACGGCCGAAAAGAGCGAAGGAAGATTGACAGCGGGCATCGGGGCAAAGTGAAATCAACGAGACTGATCTCTGTAGAGCCGGAAGCGGCAGCCGGATTATGGG